CACAAAGAAAATTAAATTAATATTGGGAGAAAAATACGAAATAACAAGAAACCATTACCCTCCATTATTAAATACATCCCATAAAGACCACAGCCCAAAACCAAGGAACAAAAGAGTTGTGACATGATGAGTCAATTTACGTGAGATCTGCAAAAAACCACAATCCATTTACGTGAGATCTGCTCAAAAACACAAAGAATAACTGGAGAAGAAAATGACCAGGGAGGAACCAAAAATGATTGATAGTTCAAGACAACTAAACAAAGGAGAGCATTTTTCCCTAACAATAAGAAAGATTGTAGCTAAATAACAAAGGATGACATCAAAGCTCAAGGAAGCACATTACCATTTCAAGTTTTAAATTCTTTTGTTGAAAATAAATTCATTCAGATGAAATGATTTCGTACTCCAACTTACCAATACAACATAAAATACAAAGAACTGATTCCTAACTGCATTCATCTAAAACTACCACCTTTCAAATCGGAGAAAAAAATATGGATCTAAGTGACTTAATTTCTTCAAAACATGTCTTATTATTGCTTAATCAACAATCAAACAATTATAGTTTATCCCAAAAAAGAAAAACAAAAGCAGCAATTAAATGTTACCATGAAAGAAATTCTCAAGAAGTTCCCTTATCATTCAGTGGCACAAATATGATCCCTGGGAAGAGGAAACCAAAAATAAAGCAAAGAGCAAGCATGCAGATTTATTGGTTTTACTTGAACATTGCAAATCTACTACTGTTGCATCTCACAATATTTAGCAAAGATAATCAAATAGCAAATGCAAAATTACCATCTACATCACATGCATACAAAAAATGCGCTTGATGTTGCCACTTAACCAAGCCCTAGCAGATAAAATAAATAACAGGCAAGAATAAGGCATTCATTTCGAGAAATCAATCTTCTTACCAAATTCGGGGCAGCCCAGCCAACCAGAGCAGAAAGAATGGTCATCACCTAAAAAACAGTAAAACTACTAAGCTAGAGGCATTGATGTTGACCAGGAAGGCGGTGGAGGCACATGCGATGAAGAAACAATGTTTAGTAACTTGAAAAAACATACTTACAATCAAAGCTGACAGACAACCGGACAAGACAAGTCTCCTTGGATGCCGCATTGCCATGATCTTTAAACAGAGGATTAAAACATGAGAAAGTGAATAGAAATTTAAGTAGGAAAAAAATCGCTGTTCATCCCTCAGAAAACTATTAGGAAAACAATATTCGTTCGTAAAGTTCAAAAATAGTAAATAAAACAATTGAGGTAAAAAATGACAGGTCTTTCTTAGTTGAAGTAGATAGATTTCGACAGTAAATCTTATCAAGGCATAAAGTACAAGGACCCTTCTCTAAAGCAAACTATATGATGCTAAATGTCAAATGTTCTCCATGACGACTTCCAATCACCTAGGTCTTTCACATAACAGATCAGACCAAATGTATTATTCCACATGGTGAATATTGTGGTATTGGTATAAGCATCTCATATTTTCAGTAGCTCTTATATAGTTATTAAATGTCATAAAGTAATAAGAATTTTTTAGTAAAACAACAATTTATAAGATGCGTGATTCTCCTTTGTCCATTTCCCAAACATGAAGGAATGTAACAAAAGAGAAATTTTGACCAACTGGGTGAAAGCGAGGGGAGACAGGCAGCGACAGGAACACTGTTTAGGAAAAACAACCGAATCGCATTTCCATCTCCAGGGAAGCAGGGAGGAAAAGTCATCCGGTTAGAGTAGAAGATCCGTATCCCAAACTAATAAGTTCACCTTTAACTCGTCTTATATAAGGAAAATATTATAAGGTCCTTAAGTAGAGAATCTCTCCTTGAAAAAAAGAAAAAGAGGAAGAAATAAAATTCCCTCCTTATGTGGGAATCAAATAAGTCTGCACTCCGACCGATAAAAGATAATCCGATAACTACAAAACGTGATATTGAAGCGTACTTTAAAATCCACTATGCGAAGTAGCATAACATACATGATACATATTCCATTCCAGGTCAACTTTCGGATGAAAACACATTGCTTACTAGTTAGACCAGAAGACACTAAAGACAAATTTATGAAAAGAACAAAAAGATAAAAACAGAAATCCACAATTACGGACTAACCGCAGCCGCGAAGAATGTTTTATCGCCGATCTCGGAGAGCACAGTCATGGCAAGCGACTTGGTAAAACCCTGGAAACATAAGGAAATGAAGAAACAAACATCAAATTAAATCCGAGCAGTACGACGGAAAAATCAAGAAAAAAAACAGATCAAAGACCTGGATGACGGAGGTGGCCATGGGTGGATAAAGGAAGAGGAATTATGAAAAGAAGGGATCGAAGAGGCAAGGAGAGGAGCGTCAGAGAGTGGATTCTCCGACGGGCTCCGAGTCACCAAACTGCAGTGAAATGAAGCGGTGGATGTGACGTCGCTGGGGTCGGAAGTTCGGGAGGGGACTCGGAGAAGGAGGGAGTGGCGAGGAAGAAGGGCGTGTGGCGTGGATTCCCAATTAATGATTCTTTTTTTGGCTTTTAGTTTTTTTTTTTTTCTTTTTTCAGAATTTAAAATGACAGAGATTAAAGACCAATGGTTGCGCTTGCGTCTAACAACCGCGGAAATTATTAAATCTTTTTTTTATATTATAATTAAATTACTAAAAAAAAATAATAGAATTATACCCCCAACTTTTGAAAATTTCATTTTAACCCTCTATGTTTAAGATTATTTCAAAACAATCCTATTTAAACACAAATATAGAAAAAATAAATAAAGCAAATGCAATCTTTTTCCTAATTTTCTCCCCTTCCGTTTATATATATCTATGGAATCCAAATCTCCAAAATTATTTTTCAAATTAAAATAGAGTTGCTACCTGTCCAAAACTAACAATATCTACTAGTAGTGGGATTGTGTGATCGGTGCACTGTAAAGATGTTGGACCCCAAAGAGGTGAATTGTGAGATCCCATATTAATCAGAGAACTAAAAAAAACTCATAATAGAAGTGTTTTAAAATGGTTGAAATAACTTTTTTTCTCTATTTTGGTAAAAGTTATATTCAATAACTTGTTAGACTTTTTCTCTCATAAAATACATGTAAGCTTATAAAACTTAATATATTGGGATGTCTTCTAACTAAACAATTTTAATTAATTTTTTTTTAAACAATCGTCACGACAAGAATTAGTGAGCTAATTAGACCTAGGACAAGAATTCAAGAGTCCAAGTGAAAATAAATCGAGAATCGAAAAAAATCATGCAAAAAGAATTTTTGTAGCCATTCATCCTAAAGCATAACGTCAAGGTGCTACAAAATATGAAGAAATAAAGAAAAAACACGTCTAGTTTTTTCTTGAAGGCAATTTTGTAAATTTTAGGGACAATGATAGACGGTGTTCCAAGCATCTTGATGTTGCGACTAGCTTTTCCAATTGAGTTGGGAAAGACCTTTTAGAGGAAAAATGTTCAATTTCGATTTCTACTCATTTTAGAGGAACATTGAGTCGAAAACGCTATTCAAGGCTTGGAAGCATAGTAATTTACTTAATTATAAATAGAAAACTTTTTTGGGAGTGAAATGTTACTAAATGACAAGGTCTATAAGACTAATATCAAACCTTTTAGAACCATATGGGTTATGTGTGGGGTCAATTAGGAGATTTTCAACTTTCTTTAGTCGTGATCTTATTTAGATAAGGGTACGGAACTACATCGGTAAATGGGCGTTGGTAGGCACGAGGGTCACCCCCTCTTTTATGACAGGGACATTACAGATCCTACCAAGGAGACATCAACTACACCCTTAATGGAGAATCCGTCTTGATGGACAATGTCCATAATGATATGAAAAAACCAGAACGAGAAGAAGTTTGTACATTGAGTACCTATGATATCCAAATTGATGACGATGGAAATGGACTAGTAAATAACTAATCAAGATATCTTAGAACCCTAAGATAGACCTCGTGAAATAATTTGGTGTTCGATTGACACTAAAGTCACTCGAGACACACGTATGTGCCACAAGGTAGCTCGCTTAAGCCATAAGGGCCAGAGGTGATGGATAGCTGACATCATATCTTATGAGGCATTTTCATTCCTCCCCATAGGCCATATGGGCGGGGATTTGAAAATTCCCTCCAAAACTTCGACTTTCGAAGTTGAAGTTAAGGTCCTAGACCATTGCCTGACCCTTCAACAAGCCCATCTCTAACACTTTTATTTGACATCGTTGCCTTTGCCTTGACTTATCTTTAATGCACATTTATGTGGTATGTTAGTTGACTGCATAGAATGGTATGTTAGATGATCACCCTTTCAGACCAAAACCTTATACGAAGCCTTAAACCAACTCGGCCATCTCAACATGGGTTGAGCCACATCCCTAAAGGTAAACCTAAATCTCAATTGGTAAAATTAGGGTAAATCTAATATTATATCAACACTCATGAAACTATGCTTCTCTTAATTAATTCTGTAGGTGAAGTTTGTAATATAAGAGCAATAAGTCCTGTTTAATTAAATGATAATCCATATTTGATTACACACTGGTAATGTCTCGCAATCCATGGGTAGACATCACAAAATCAAACCCCAAAAACAAAAAGAATGCTATTACAACTTGTACTGAAAATAAAACAAGAGTTAAAAAGAGCTTGCATTCTGAAACCCATCGCTTTCTCTCTGTGTTTTCCTCTTCCACTTTCATCTTTCTTCAGTGCCATGATCTTCAACAAAGGCTCTGTCTTTAAACGCCATTGTTGCACTGCGTAAAGTCGAGGAAGAAGAAATGGGTAAAAGGAAAAAAGGGTCGAAAATGGGGGATTGGACGTTAGAGATAGAAACGAAGGTTACGTACAGAGATGGGAGAGAGAAAGTGAATTCTGTTTTACCTCTGGAGAAACAGAGTATTGGGAAACTAAAATCCCAACTCAGATAGCAATAATGAAAAGTCTTACTCTCTCTCTCTCTCTCTCTCTCTGTAATTGTAGGACTGATACGCTATTCTGTTCTTACAAACATACATCAACAGATTTTCTTCCACTGCACAGCGATTGCTTTCTTTCTTCTTCTCTACCCTGAATTTGCTTTCAATTCCTCTGCTTTTGCTACCCTTTTTTTCTTGTTTGTTTCCTGAGAAAGACAGGGAAAGTAAAGGGTGTTGTTGTTTCTAGTAAAAATGCAGAGCTTTGAAAACCCAGATCAGTTCTATGTCCATTCTTCTTCTTCTTCCGTTGTTCTCTGGTAGTGTAGAATGGTTCTTCAACGACATTAATGGGTTTTGGTTTTTGGGGGGTTTGATGATGTTTATTAACTTCCATAGTGGCTCTCTGTTTTTTTTTTTTTTTTTTTTTTTTTTTTTTTTTTTTTTTTTTTTTTTTTTTTTTTTTTTTTTTTTTTTTTTTTTTTTTTTTTTTTTTGTTAAAACAGGGGAGATGACAACGGACGATTCCACACGCGTTTTCTTCCGGATATGGAGCTTCAACAATCCGCTGTTGCTGTTGCTGCTTTTCATCAAGATGATGCTGTTGATTTAAGCCCAAGTATTCTCTCTCCTCTAACTACCTTCTGATTTTAAAATGATTTGGTTTCTTTTCTTGTCTTTTAATATATGTTCTTTTTCTCTAGGCTCTGTTTTCGGTTTAAAATCGACCCACAATACAGCTTTTCCAATCCACCTACCGTACGGGGTATTTCAATCATCTCTTTTTTGTCGTTCTATATCTATGAAGCTTTTAAGGGTTAATGGGTTTCTGGGTTTTTGTTGAATGGTTGTGAAGAGCACGGATGTGGGTTCAATAGGAGGAACAGGGTATTTAGACACGGGACAGCAATCGATGCGGTTGAACAAGCTGGCTCCGCCGCAGACGATGGCGGCTGGGAGCTTTGAGAACTGGGGCGAGTCAGCCATGGCAGATACTAGCCAACAGACTGACACTTCCACAGACATCGACACCGATGAAAGAAACCAGGTGCATATATTGGAAGAAGAAACAAAGGAAAAGAACTCGTTCTTTATCTCTTTCCAGTTTCTTGCAGTGAATGGTTTTTATGTCTGCTTTTTGTTTAGCTTCAGGTAGTTGCACATGGAACTCTCATGGCGGACTCCATGGGTCAATCCAGAGCTAAATCTGTAGATCAGAAGGTCCTCTCATGAAGCTCTTTCCCTTCCCTGTTTTACATTTTTCACAATTTAGTGCTTGAAAACTTCAATATGTAACCATTGAATTTGCTCACAGACGCTTCGTAGGCTTGCTCAGAATCGAGAAGCAGCCCGGAAGAGTCGATTGAGGAAGAAAGTAATGCGTTTTTGCTTTTTGAGTGAGCTGAAAGTTGCATGATGTCGTTGTCGTCATTGTTGTGCTGTTAAAGTTAGAATTTTGATGTCTTAAGTTGATGAAGGGAATATATTTGGAACATTTATAGGTTTTGGTTTTGGATAGGCATATGTCCAGCAGCTGGAAAGTAGTCGACAGAGGCTTGCGCAGCTAGAGCAGGAGCTTCATCGAGCACGCCAACAGGTGTTTGGGTGACCAAGATTTCCCAGAGTTAAATGATTAATGTGAGATCCCCACATTGGCATGGCATTGGCTGGAGAGGAGAACTAAACATTCCTTACAAGGGTGTGGAAACCTCTCACCCATTTTAAAACTTTGAGGGGAAGCTTAGGAGAGAAAGTCCAAAGATGACAATATCTGATAATAGTGGGTTTGTTCTGTTACAAATAGTATAAGAGCCAAACACCGAACTGTGTGCCAACGATGACACTGAGTCCACCAGGGGGTGGATTGTGAAATCCACGTCCACCGGAGAGGGGAATAAATCATTCCTTACAATGATCTGGAAGATTACTTAGTTTAGTTTCTTGTAAAGGCTCTAGTTTCCTCGATTATGGTAAGTTTATTGTGTTTGATTGATATCAGGGCATGTTTGTGGCTTCTGGGGCTGGAGACCATTGTTTATCAATGACAGGAAATGGTAAGCAAAGATGAAACGATGGTGATTACAGTATGTTAGTTTGTAATATGAACTCCTGGATGAATCAGTTGCATTGTTTCATAATATCAACCTTAGGTGCCTTGGCGTTCGATCTCGATTATGCACGATGGCTTGATGAGCATCAACGGCTGGTCAATGATCTAAGAGCATCTGCAAATTCTCAATTGGGAGATGAGGAATTGAGATTTCTTGTTGATGGGGTGATGGCACATTATGATGAACTCTTCAGGCTGAAGAGCATAGGCGCCAAGGCCGACGTTTTTCACATTCTTTCAGGCATGTGGAAGACTCCTGCTGAGAGGTGTTTCATGTGGCTGGGAGGATTCCGTTCATCCGAGCTTCTAAAGGTAAAACTGTTTCGTAAGCTCGAGATTGTTCCACACGGACCGAGTCGTGTGTTAGTTTAACTCACTTGCTGCTCTTGGATTTGAATGAATTCAGATAGTTGGGAGCCATTTGGAGCCTCTAACAGAACAGCAGCTGATGGGTATATGCAATTTGCAGCAATCATCCCAACAAGCTGAAGATGCGTTGTCACAAGGGATAGAAGCTTTGCAACAATCTCTTGTAGAAACTGTTTCCACTGCTTCTATAGGTCCAGCCAGTTCAGGGAATGTTGCTGATTACATGGGTCAAATGGCGATCGCAATGAGCAAGCTAACGACCCTCGAGAACTTTCTACATCAGGTTAACGCTTTCAAGCGTTCAATCAACTTTTAGAATGATAATAGACAAACGAGTATGTATGCAGCTAATTGAGCAATCCTTCATGTCTTCTCTTTCAGGCTGATCTGTTGAGGCAGCAAACGCTCCAACAGATGCATCGGATATTAACCACTCGTCAAGCTGCACGAGCGCTTCTTGTCATCAGTGATTACATTTCACGTCTTCGAGCTCTCAGTTCTCTATGGTTAGCACGACCAAGAGAGTGATATCTAGCTTAGCCATATCGACACCAGACCAAGGGCACTGTCAGAGGGCAATCTACAGCAAGAACATGGCTTCTTGGAACCGAACCATGAAACTTTGAGAACTGTTCTAACAATCTTATTGTGTTTTATCAGTATTAAGGGGTTATGGGTTGCAAGTTGAAACCTTTTTTTGACCCACTTGGTTTCCACTTTGTTTTGTTACCAAACAAGTGTCCTGTTTTTTGTTTTCTTTTCCAGGATGCTTAATTTGGTACGGTTTGATACAGATTAGATTAATGTACTCATATCTATATTAATTATTAAAATTATTATTTTATTGGTCAAAGCCACGACAGTTCATGCTACATAAATTACTATAATAAATTTAATGATATGTTTGATGACAATGTTTGGCGGGCTCCGCTCATTATCCTTACTGTTCTCTTTGTTGGGCTCCCCATGGCTCTAGCCATAAGCTATGACAGCTCCAACTCACAACTTGACGGGTCATAATGTGTTCATTTGTTTTAAATGGATTGGTGGGATTCATGCTCGGAGGGTGTGAAAAGAATGAGAGGTTGGGCTCGGGATTCTAATGCTCGTGCTAATGTAATTATATTTCATATAATTTTCATATGAATAAATTAATCATTTTAATTAATATACGTATAATAGAACTCTAAAAAAAAGGAGACAAACTAGCTAGTAATGGTAGTAATCGTGACAAGAGAAGGTGTGATCTCTATCTCCAACAACTTCATAGTCATGACCATAATGCCAGAAACGGTCCTCCATGTCCGGCTCCGGCAAGCAAGCTACGGCGAAATCAGGACGAGAAGATGAAAAAGAACGGTATTGGTGGGCGGAGAGAGAGGGAAACACGGACGGCCTCCAATCATCATTCTCCAACGAAGGAAACATGGGGTTGGGATTGTGGTCGGCAATGGTTCCGGGGACTACTTGAGCTTGCTCCACCGGCGGCGGTGGGTTTTGATCGGCAATGGGTTCGGGTTCCATTTCTTCGACGTCGAGAATCTCGACTCTGCGATTCATCTTCCTCCGGATCTTAATGGCAATGTCGGACGGCCTGAATCTGCCAAACACGATCAGTCTGTGACTCTCCTTCTCTATCAAATGCTTCTCGATCACTTAGCCATCCAAATCAAAACAACAACAACAAGAATATGAAGGGTGAATTTTATAGTAATTTTGATGAACATTTTTAAAAAAAATTTTGTTTCTCTTATTAATACCTTTCATTTTCAAGATGATCCTTCGAAGTTTCCGGCAGCAAGCATTGCAATCGACGTTGATTTTCATAACCATACAGAATGGCTGCAAAACAATGGGAAATTTATAAGAAAAGCACAAGAAATAAGAAGAAGAAGGAGAAAAGGATTGGCTTGCCTTTGGGTGAGACATGAATTGGAGGGATGTTTTTATGTCGAATTGGGTTTGGATTTGATTTATATTTGTGGAGATAACAATGGAATCTAATTCTGTTTTGGGGTTTAGGGTTTGTTGATGTCTTCTACTTCTTGACTTCCATATTTTTACTTTTTGTGCAAACTTAGCATTGCTTCCTTCTTCTGCCTTTCTCTTTGCATTGCCTTCATGCTACATTCTTCAATCATATTTTCCTTTTTATTTTAGAAATTATGGTTAAATTGGGTCGTTGATTGTTAATAAGGATGATAATAGCAAAATAACATTTAGATACAAAATTTGATGCTCTCAACATGGAGGGGGAGAGCTTTGTGATACCATTAGGTTATCTTTTGTTATACATACAAAATAACATTTAGATAGCGATTTGATACAAAGACTGACCCCCCTCTCCCCCTATGGTTAACATTTCTAAGCTACCAAATTACAAGGCAAAAGCAGGGCAAAAATAAGCATCCAATAGATGCAGCAACACCACCCACTTAACAAAACTCAAATAAATTTAACTTATTAACAAAGAAAATATCGAAAAAGAAATCATCATCTCGACATAACCAAGTTTGAGAGAGCAGGCACGACTGATGAAGTGAACAGAGAATCCCTCAGGTATTTGCAGTTCTCATGATCCACTTTCATGGAGTTTGGAGTCGCACCTCTTTCACATGGACTGGAAGAAGTTGATGGTGAAGAAACCGATCTACTCGCCAATGAACTACTGCCACTGGGTTGGCTTCTTTTTTTGGAACCCGTCCACCGCAATTTGGCAAGCAAACCATCCTTCGACAGATCTGGAACTGTGCTCAATTCTCTAGTCTTGACCGGTCGAGGATCGCTTGATTGACTTCGATCTTCTCCTGGTTGTTTGCTGTCACAAACAGCATCTTGGCTCAACAAGGTCAACGCCTTGTTAGGGAGGTCATCATTTGCTGGACGGGACAAAATTGACGTTGCGATATCTGGCCTTTCTTGCATATGCATCCACCGGTTTCCTATCCATTCTCGAGAATGCCTCAAATCGTCTTGGCCAAGAACCAATTCTTGCTTTTCACCTGAACGTATATATTGAAAATGCAATTTAGTGAGGATTTTTTTTCATGGATAACATTTATCACTCCAACAAATTACGAACCTGGCAAGTAAACTTGAAACTTGTCTTCGGATTCCTTCTGAATTATAATTCCTTCCCACCAACCATCGTGCCACCACACATCAACGATTGTCCCGACATTGTAAACCAAGGCAGCTTTGCTATCCTTACTGGGCTGTGGACGAATAACTAATCGTCCATTGATGCGTAAACCCAATTGATCAGCAGCTGCAACTCTGGATGCTGAAAGCCATTCCTGCAAGCAATGACCATCGATCTCATATTAAAAATCAGAAAACGAGAAGCCAAAGAGAACCGTAATCACCCAAAAGAAAGCACATACCATAAGCTTGTTCAACTCGTCATCGGCATCCTGAAGATTGTGATATTGCACCTTGACCTTGTCTCTGTGCTTTTTTACTATTGAAGCTCTAAACCAACACCCTCGAATACTGCTGTCGTGCGAGAGAACTTCAATCTCTGATCCTACAGATAACTGGCCAGAAGAAGCATTGTTCAACTCCTTGCCTATAAAAGTTTTAGAAGCACAACCCCATTTGGAACTGAAAACAAAACCGTTGTTCCTGCGCACGTCAAGAGAAGAAGATATATTTCCAGGCTTTCTCTTCTCAGTATTTTGCGCGTCATCTTTTCTCAAGCGTCGATACCTCTTTCGAGGCCTCATCTCAGCACTCGTGTCATCTTCTGACTGCTGAGAGTGGGTGTGGGCTTTCGAAGAAGAAAGAGCATACATGTATCTGAGTATTTCTTGCTTCCAATAGCCTTTGATCTGTGTAATATCAAAGGGTTTGATATCATCATTATCAAATTGCTTCTCACAAACATACGGCTCCAATAAAGTATGTTTCGCCTCGTTCTGGAACTTCTGAAAATGCTGGGGACTGAGAACAGTTGCTGCCCCATCTATGCATTCAACACTGAGATCTTGAAGACAAAGAGAAAAGTAAATCTCTCTGTCACTAAAATTGTGTGGCAAAACAATATCAACCTCATCAATTTTGTGAAACCATCGTACCACAACCATCCTGTTGCTTCGAGAGTCTTCATACATATCCTCCAAATATGCAACAAGACGTTTGCCTTCCTCGGCTAAGACGTATACAAAGTCATGAACCTAAAAGATTATGATAAAGAAAATGCAAGATTAATACAAGGCAATAACAAATGAACAGAAACTTGATTCACTGTTCGGATAGACAAAAAGGGATGTTAGAGAACAAACAGAACTACTCACCGAGATCTTAAAACCGTTGCGGCTGAAAGATGGATAGTGCCATTGCTTTCGCTTACAGGTCCATGGAGATCCTAGCCAAGAAAAATCCCTGGTATATTGACCCAACTTCATCTGTTGAACGTCCTGAAAAGAGAACTAGCAATAAGAAAACAATAGAACTGGCAAGCTTTGAGGCTGGAGAATGCTAAATAACTTGCCAATTTTCAGATACTTGGAAACCAGAACACAAATGAATAGAACATAGAACCATCAACTGGTTAAACAAAGAAATAGACCCTCTTAGAGTGCTACCTTCTGAGAAACAACAGTCGACGGGCAAGCATCTTCACCTTCCATGTCCATTATACGATCGGATGGTTGTGATATTTTACGTTGCGAATCTGGTTAAAATAAATAATTGCATTGATTAAACTATGCACAGATTATGCTAACTCATAATAAAAATGATAAAAAGGCATGAAAATTTCAAATAACAGGGAAATACTAGACATGAAGATGGATGAACTGGAATCAAACAACCGAGAAGAATTACGGTGCTCGGAATTTAAAATATTTTCAGCCAGCAAACAGAAAGGTTCACGGGGGAAAACCGAGATAACGAAAATGGAATATTAGCAATCAAAAACACATAACAGTTTTGGCCATGAAAGATCATAACCTATAATTATGAGGCCAAAAGTATTCCGTTGCTTCAATCAGCCCTTTAAAATTTGAGTAAGTGTGCCTGCAGCCCAGATAACTGTCAGTTCACATGAACACGAACACCAGAAATCCATGGAAGAAATAACAACGGTATTGACGAATCAAAAGTAGCCACATGAGAAAGGGAAAAGGCAAAAGAGATCCGATGAGGCCAGAAGGAAAATCAAAACAAAGGCCGATTTTCGGAGAGATGGATTCAGAGTGGCTTATCGAAATGCTGCTAAAAGCTCAAAAACAAACGCAACCCGCTGGATCCCAACCATACAGGATAATCTTAACTGGGAAAGGCATAGTTTCAAGAATTTCGCAAGGAATGAAAAGCCCAAGGGAGAAACCTCCTGAGCATTCAACAAAGTCGAAGACGAACAAGTCACCCATGGCCCGACCATGTCAAGATTTTGATAGATCGGGAAATTGGAGGAAAAGAAACTAAAAAATTTCCTCTCTTCAGAGCACCAAGCCGTTCGACATGGTGATATAAAGAGAGGTTCCAGAGAACCCACAAATGAACCGACCCCCTCTGTTTTGTGTTCTGGAAAACATTAATCTTTCCCCCAAGATCTTAGGACTTCCTCTAGCTCAAATATGGAGAAAGATGTCGAAAACGAATAAATAGACAAACCCTTTAAGAATCCGTTATAGATTATCTAGATCTGATAACGCCCTCCACAAACCAAAAACCCCTGACCAACTGAAAACAAAAAAATCAAAACAACACCAAAAATGGAAGACAGTAAGCTAAAATGGAAAAAGGAAGAAAAGAAAAAAGGGTCGAGGAGAAAAACTTTAGGAACTCCGTGATGGAAATTCCAGAGAGAGACGCGGTAGTACCAGAA